CCTTGCCCTCCCACCTGCCTTTTGCGGACATGAAATAGACCGCATGTACCCATCTAGTTCAATTACAACAGACAGGGAATGATATTTTTTTATCTTACTTACAGGGTAGTATAAAAATTTCTTGTATGAATAAGAAGGAAGTTAAAAAATTATTAAATTTTAAAGTAAAGTTAACAAATTTCAAAGTTTTTCTTGATACGTATGAACAATATTTAAAGTGACTTATAAATAAGATTAGAAGAGTGTGTCTAATTATGCAAACTGATTTGATTTGCTAAGTATGTTCAAATCTTTGGGTCAATAGACTAGCGGACCTACGTAAATAGTGGGTGTAATGCTGCCTCATTTTGTATGCTTATTGACAGCCTTTTGTTTTTCTGTAAATAAAAAAGAAGCATGAATAATTGTAGAGTATCGTCCTACTTTGTATGAATTATATAGACTTTCTCTCTATTTTAAAAATATACGGTTTAGTCTAATTAGTTAAAACTACTAAAAAGATTATAAAAATATTATTTTTAACTTAAATTTATACTATAATAAATTTTATTTACTATTTTACCCCTCATTGTAATAAACTTCTAAATTATCTTTTTATAGTCACACAAATTTTACTCGGTCAGGGTGAACATAAAAGACTTAATTAAAATTTTAATTAATTTGTTCAATAAATATATACAGTTCACTGAATAGGTTTAAAAATTTCTGTAACAAAAGATGTGTTAAAAAATTTTGAATTATAAATTTAAATAATTTATAAAATCTTTTAAATTTAAATCACTTAAACTTTATGATAAACAAAAACTATATATTTAAAATATATTTTTACAATTTAAAAGAAATCAAAGTAAATAATTTCTAATGAATATGATAAAAAATTAACATTATAAAATTTTATGATTTAAATCAAAATTAATAAATTTTATAACATATCAGAAATTTTAAAAATATGTGTACGAGACTTATTTTTTGAAAAATATAAATGTTTAAATAATTATTAAGGTAAAAAGGGATGTTTTAGTCAAAAGATAATTTAAAATCAAACTTAACGGTGAACTAGCAATTTAGGTAGATGAAAGTAAAATCTTAAATGTAAGAAGCAGATTTGTATAATATACGTTTTAATTTTAAATAAGGTTATACATTTTTAAAATAGAAGAGAAGCTTGTACAATTGAGGTAAGATAGATTAGCATATTTTACTCGTGATTATATTTATAAGGTGAAGAATGGGACAACTAGATATGTTTTTTTTTTTTTTAAACCAGGGTCAAAATGATATTAAAACGAAGTAGTATTTGCAGGGTACATACTGAAACAAATCAACAGAAAGCATATTAAAATAAAAAAATAATAATCTATGGAAATAATATTAAACTTACTCAACAGTGCTCCCTTCATGTTAAACCCCTCAAGAGAGAAAAGATTGCTCCCTTGATTGTTTGTATCTAAATAAAATTAACTTATACTATTTTTTATTTTTAATATAAGAGTTAGTTAGATAATTAATGTGATTATAAATATAAGATTCGTTAGATATTTAATTTGATCATAAATATAACACTTTAATCTACCGTGTCCTTAATATTTATTTATTTTCTCTTCAAATAATTTTTATAGTGATTACATATGTTAAAAAACAATTAACAAAAATAATTCATATACACATAATTAATAAGAATAATTTATAAAAAATAAAATATATTTATTATAAATAATCATCTGATACAGTTTCTTGTAATTGATGTCTTAAAATTCTGTCCGCCATCATTTCCCTCCTGCCACGAATCTGGTGATAATTCATCGGCCAGAGGAACCTCATGCTTTGGATTCTGTGGTCCAATATTTCATGGAGCGTGCAGTGTTACTTTTCCATTTATTTTTTTCTTTTTAAAATTCCTCAGTAGGTGGGTGCATACAAACAAAAAGAAGCCAATAATTCTCCAGATGAAAAAGCAGCTAATAAATACCATATAATGAATGTAATAAAAGAAACACCCACTTTTTATCCCCCCCTCCCCCACCCCCACCTAATTATAACTTTACAGTGGAAAAAAGAAAACAGAAGTTTACAGCAAAGCATGCTTCATGACTCAAAGTACGTTCACTAAGTTGTTTTAAAATTATAAATTACTCACAAACAAGGTACTGCTAAGTAATATTGATCATGGGGTTTGAAATCGTGCATTTATAAAATATAAATTGCATTCTTATTTGTTGGCAAAAATTTGCATTTTTATTTTTAAATGAGCCCTTACTATTTAGAGATAAAAAGAATACAAAATCAACGTTAGTCGGACTTTTATATGTATATGTTGCTCTCACAGGCACTTATGTTATTAATCATAATCTGTTGGCAAAAAACTGTTATTGATTATAATTATTAAAAGTTACAACTGAGCTTTTGTTGTGCAAGGAGGCTCGTTAGATTCGTGATTTAATAAATATTTTCCCGTTCTGCAGACAAATTTTTAAGGTTGAATTTGTATATTTATTATATAGATAAAACAGAGTGAGACACAATTGTGAAACGCCCCTTTATTGCATATGGGAGTATATATTAGCTCAGGAGATGATTGTCTGAAGTTGACAATTCAGGTGATAAAAACATACCCAAAAAATAAAAAAATCATAAGAATCCATGGGTGCTAACTTCAGAGAATCCATGCCAGCAGGCCCGATACGAAAATATTTTCCTTATCATTACGCTGCATTTGTAAGAATTTTTTCCAGGAAAATTAGTTTAAAAAAAATCCTATTTTAAAAATTTAATTGATTAAAAAGATCTGAATTTGAGTACACGTAAGTATGATTCGTGAGTGTAATATATCTTCTGCTGTGTATGCAAATGACTTTTATATTATGATTGTTGTACATCAGCGGAAGATGTGTTGCACACAGCAGAAGATATATTGTACTCACGAATCATGGTTGTACTTACTCAAATTCAGGTCCTTTAGTCAATTAAATTTTTAAATAGAAATTTTTTCCTAATTTTTTCATTTTTTTTAATAAATTTGATCTAATACTTAACATAGCAAGTACTGCTACATAATAAATTGTGCGGTTAAAAGAAATTTAATAAATTGAATGACATGATCTATTACAATGATTCATATCTAACATTATCTTACATATTACTTTATAATTTAATAAAATTAGTTTAAAAAATAATAAATACAAGAAATAAATTAGATTAAATCACTGGAGGAGTAATTTTTCCAGTACTTACATTAAGTTCATAATATTTATTATGTCGTATTCTCTAATTACATATGACTGAATGTCTTATATTTGAAATATTAACATGTAATAATAGTTGATTATAACTCCACGTGAAATAAAAAAAAACACAGGTATGTGATCAGAGAACTTAATATAATAAATTCACCTAGTTATAAAGGGATCTAATATATAAATGAATAAAAATTTTCTTTTTTTTCCTTCTTTTTTTAAATTCAATTTTAAAATCTGAAGGGAAAATAAAAATGAATGATAGGGACCAAAAAAAGAGGGAGAAAGCCGGGAAAGCAGGCCTGCCAGAACTGTGGCCGATGCTGGTTAATATACGTTCAACTTTAACATTCATTGGAAAATAATACTAAGCTTTAGTCCTTTATCTTTTAATACCAAAACAGTTAAACTTTTAAGCAAATCCCTGTGACGATGACTAATGAACAGTAAGTACCTCCAGATAAGAAATTATTTATTACAATCATATCTCATAAAATATTATTATCACCTATTTTCTTTTTAAGATTTAATTGCTGATATAACAAAATATTTTCAGCTTATTCCACTCTACTGCTTCTAGGTAGGGCTGTTCACGGGACGGATCGGGACCGGGACAGGCCTGTCCCGGTTTCGTCCCGATGAACAGTAACGGGACAGATTTTCTGTCCCGTGTCCCGGTCCCGGTCAGGACGGGATGGATCCGGGACGGGACCGGGACGTCCCGAACAATTTTTTTAATTTTTTTAATTTTTTTTAATTTTTTTTAATTTTTTTAATAAAATCTGAGTTTTTTAATTATATTTTTTTGGGCTTAAACCTTATAAAAAACATCTTTTATTTTTTTATTTGTTTGGGCACTTTTAAACAAAAGCTCAAAATATTACATATAATAATCATTAAAAACTCTAAACAAAAGCTTTTAATACAATAAAAACTTACTAAAAATTATAATAATCAATAATCTCAAATCATTAACAAATATAAAAACTCTAAATAAATATATCTATAGTTCCATACAATAGTCTCAAATCTTAAAAAAACATGAAAAAAATGATATTATATAAATAGGATAAAAAATAAAAAAAAAAAGAACCGGGACGGGACCGTCCCGTGTCCCGTCCCGTCCCAATAAGACCGGGACCGAAACGGGCCGACCGGGACGGGTCGGCCTTGAACACCCCTACTTCTAGGCCTGTTTGAAACAATTTATAAGTAGTTTTTTAATAGTAATTTATGGAATATGAGACAAATATAAAATTTTTTTATCTCGATTTACGTAAAATATAATTCTAGGGGAATTCTTAAGCCTTTCCAAACAGGCTCAAATATCAATATAACCAACCATATTCTAAATTATATATTTGCTGTTAATTTAAGTCCAACAACTCATTTAGTAATTTTTTTTTTGGTTCAATGAATCCCCAAAAGCATCGAGATAACAATAATGGGGATATTTGATTGCTTATTGGTTGGCGCGTTATTGAAAATCTTAAGATGATTATAATGATTATTAACTTGCAGTAACAAAAGATAAATAAAAATATAATAGTTTATGAAGTAGAAAATAAAATAGGGAAAAGAAAAAGGCCAGCGTTGATGTGATGCCAGTCAAAGTGTCAAAATTGGGACAGAATTTCCTTCACGGTTTCACTTTTCGTTGAAATAATTTTATCTTCTTCTTTTTTTAAAAAAAATAATTTTTCACCTAAATTTTCATTTCCAATAAGCAAGCGGGTCTATCTTTCCCCATCGGACTAGAGCAAAAGGACACTGCAGTTTCTTTCTGTATTCCCCACTACCTTCGTCACTGCCAGAAACAACCCAAGACAATGTGTGAGTTTCAGGCACGCACATTGCTCCATTCTCGATTTCTCTCCTCCTCCTTCCCATAACAATGGCTTTGTCCCATCATTATCATCTTCTCAAGGAAGCATTATCTTCACTCGCTCTCTTCTGGGCTGGTCTTCCGTAGTCGCAAAAGGTTAGGGGGTCTTCCTGATCTTTTCACTTATATTGCTTGAATCTACTTTGTTCTTTAAGTTCTTAACTTCTTCTCTCATTTTTTCTGCTTATTTTCTTCTTCTTATTGTTGCATCTGAAAGATCGGCTACTTCATTGCCAGTTAGTTACCCTTCTCTTGTTTTTCTTGTTTATTAATCTGATCTGGGCGTAGAAAGTGCTTTCCTTTTTATTCCTGCTTCGCTAGTTTTTCTCATCTTACCGTTATCCTACATGAGTAGGATCTTCATTTAAAACTCACACAATTTTAGTATCTTTTCTCCTTGGAGCTTAATATATTGGGGTTGGGACTCCATTGCTTCTATTTTTTTCCCTGCCAAAAAAAGGAAACTTACAATTGAAAAGAAGTGAATCAGATACGAAGTTTAATGTGTTCGGAACCAGAGTTGCGAGGTTTCTATGTTTGTTAAAGTCTAGGTGGGAAATTCAGAACCAGCACGTGGCTCCATAGTTCAGATCTCATCTTGGCCAAATGATCTGAAGGTAGCTTTGCTTTCATCCACATGAAAGATCCTGGCTTGTTAGAACTTTCAGTGCGCAATGAACAAGAGAGTACGTTTATTCGAGATGAGACCAATAGCTAAACAATTTCTTTAGGACACAGGGAAGAGAGTGAAGACTGAAGAGACAAAGAGTAAATAAGATTTGTGTTACAATAGCTTAAATGTGAACTAATCTGCTAGTGGTTTGGACTGAACATTGCCAAATTCCCGAGCTATTGCGAGCATCATGTATTGTAGTCTGAAGAGGGAAGAAAAAATAAGCAGCGCATGGCAGGATCTGTAAAGCTGATTACTTCTGCATAAATGCTGATGAGTTTGTTGCTTCTTTACGAGGATTTTCTTCTTGTCCTGAGGGGTTTTGATTTAACATTCTAATGTTTTGTCTTAGGCATAACTAGGTAGCAGATGTCTGAAATGCATGTTCTGGGTTCATGGGAACAAATACTGAATATGTTAGAGGCTTGGCATGATTGGTTACACCTTTTATGGCTCCTGTTGATTATACTTTCCTTTGGATGTCACAAGTAGCTCGACAAACCAGAAAAAATTAAAGGTTCCCCTTTTCTTTTGTCAGCTATAATATCTGACTATCGCCACAAGACTTCTTGGCTACCTCATCCCAGAACATGTAATAAGTTTTTCCTGGTATAAATAATCTTCATTTATTATAGCGTACGATCTCCATTTCAAATCCGTGCCTTTGGCCATCAGAACATAACTCTGGTGTTATATTAGAACAATCATGAAACTAGATGAACTACCATACCTATCGACATTTTCTTGATCCAATCAAACATTGGAACTGGGCCCATGCTACTTTTCAACAAGCAGGTGTCAGATATTATTTGTGTTGTATTACAATACATCATTACGAGTGTTGAAAAAACATTCCTTCTAGTATCTTCCAATTTTAATGTGGTCTTGATATATGCAGGTTATAGACAGCTATTGAGTGCTTCTTGGGTTCACTCTTAACATGAAATTGAGATTCAACGGTAGCTGGCCTTCGGCAGTGCGTCTTCGTCTCAAAGACAAATCAGCCACTCGTTTTTGCTTATTTCCAAAAGTGAAATCAGCTGGCAACAATCCTGGGAATTCACCTGTCTATCTTAATGTGTATGATTTGACAACAGTAAATGGCTACATGTATTGGGCAGGTCTTGGTATTTTTCACACTGGGGTTGAAGGTCAGTTGAAAGTCGAAACATAATGCCTGCTCTCACATGTTTAACCTTATTTGTTTATTTTAAGTATTTTATTAAGGTTTTCTAGTGAAAATTCTGAGGAATTACTTCATTGCCTGCACCTTATATCTATATCTTAAAGGGAAGTAGTGATAATGGTACTACGTGTAACTTTTGTAGCTCAGAACATAAATTACGATAGCCTCAACACCAGTTACTTCTGAAAGATTTTGACCCACTTGGCCAAACTCAATATAGTCATGCGTTTTTGCACAATTTGAGATAACAGAATAATTTATAATACTCTCTTCTGCGTTGGATGAATCTGAATCCTATGAATGTAACTTGATATATCGCAACTATACATACCTACAGTTCATGGAGTTGAATATGCCTTTGGAGCCCATGATTATCCGACAAGCGGTGTCTTTGAAGTTGAACCTCGGCAATGTCCTGGCTTTAAGTTTAGGAAGTCAATATTCATGGGAACAACAAGCTTGGATCCTCTCCAGGTTAGAGAGTTCATGGAGCGTCAATCAGCAAAGTACAATGGTGATACCTATCACTTGATTGTGAAGAACTGCAACCATTTTTGTGAGGATATGTGCCTTAAGCTGACAGGAAATACGATACCAAAATGGGTCAATCGTCTGGCAAGAATAGGTATATGATGTATTCTCTTGCCTAACATGGACCAGAACTCAGTTCTTCTTGAACCCGTTTGCAAGTAACAAGCAAGCGGAACTAAGAATTTCCCAATTGTATTATGTCCATGTTGCATATGTTGCCCTTGGCTAATGTCAGTTACAGATAACACTTTCACCAAAAACTAGTTTTTTCCCCCCTACTGTTTTTTTGCTGGCATTTTCTACTATTGAAATATTTGAAAATACTTACAGGCTCATATAGTCATATTTTCATGTCATTGAAAAATTTAGAACAAAACTAGGATGCAATGCCATAGTTTACAATCAGCTTCTTCGGCTCAATTATAACAGCAAACGTAGTAAGGAACTGCAAAAAAGTTTTTCCTGAACCATTTTACGCAGATGTTACATTTACTTCATGTCCAATTAGATGTTACCTTTACTTTGTGCTCATTTAGTGTCCAATTTAGCATATTTCACCTACTTGGCAGAAGCCTGGGCATTAGGAGAAATTTTTTGTTAGGTTCAAATGCCCCGACTTATTTCCTTCAGTTACCTTACCTCAGTCTCATCTCTTCATGCATTCCTTGTAGGTTCCTTGTGTAATTGCATACTCCCTGATGCTCTTAAAACATCCACTGTTCGACATGATTCAAACTTTCAAGGAGGCGATAGTGAAAAGAAGAGACTGCGAACTGCCTTCAGTTGCTTGTCATCAATCTCGGTGCCTCAGAGGGAGGTATCGATGTCTTCCTTATTCTTACACTCTCACTATAAAGGTTGCCTGCCTCCGTGGGAGTTGAAGAGGTCTAGAAAGGGCTCACTGAAGGAAAGATGAGGAGACTTGTCTTGTATCTCTGTAACTGTCTTGCGGGTAATCTTCATTCATGAATAACTGGAAAAGAAGTCACTGGCTTTCAGTGATCTATGATCTCCAGGAGTGCAAAATTTTCTTTCCTCATTTGTATTTGAATATCCAAGATCATAGGGCTTTGCTGTTTTCTTTTTCTTCCCTTGTGTCCTTCTGTTTTCTGGTTATTGCTTGTAATCTTTGGCTGTAAATTAACATTCAGATATATATATTGGTCTACAAACTCAATTTCATGGGTGGAGAAAACATAAAGCAGACAGATCATCTAGCTCATTTAGAAAGGGATCTGGATCTTCTCATGTTATGTGATTCACAAATGAGAATGGGACAAGGTGAACGGCTATTTATGTATCAATCTCTGAGTGGGTCAAATCAATGAAGGCAGAGTCACATGAATGGATTAAGAAGTGTCCACAAATGAAAGAAATCAGAAAAAGGTGGCCGCTAGATTCAGGAGTTTCATTGAATTTCTGAGCTTAATGTTAAGTTGAATGTCGCTTGATAAATGTTTAGCAAACCAAAAAAGATTAGAAATATTGGTTTTCCAGATGTTAACGTGGTACGACTGGAAAGAAGACAATCTTGGTCTCCGAGCCACGAAGTATTTTTCTAAGATGTACCTGCTGGAAATATTGGTTTTCCAGATGTTAACGTGGTACTCTCAGTCCTAAATATAAAGTAATTATATACACTAGTATAAGGGTCTTATATTTAGGATCGGAGGAGTATTATGACTGGAAAGAAGACAGTCTTGGTCTCCAAGTGACGATGTATTTTTCTAAGATGTACCTGCTGCTGTCTGAAATTTTTTATCAAGTCCTAAAATAGAAATAGTGAGTAGTGACTGGCGAGTGAGAATATAATTTCATAATAATCAGTATTTTTGAAAATTTTTAATCACGACTATAAAATTTAAAATCAAGTTGAGAGGACGAGGATATATGTAACAGTGAAGATATTTATCTTTGGAAAAATAAAGAGGCATCGGGGTCCAAGTGTTGGGCCGGGCTGCCACCTAGACGGGATCGTATTTGTGACTGGGTGGGCCTGTGATGCCCAATACGGAATCTGTATCTATGACGTTCAATTATTTTTCATCTTTGGGATCCAAAATTTGATTACCGATTAACGAAATAAACCCGATCTCTGGTGGTTGAAGACCCCTGAGAAACTCCCCAGTCTTTGACTCGGGACTCACAGCTGCGAAAACCCAAGACTGCTCGCAATGGCGAAGCTGGTCGTCTTCCTCACCCTCATTTCGCTCCTCCCACTCCTCTGCAACTCTTTCTCTGCCGATAAGCCCTCAGATCGCCACATCCTTGTGTTGCTCGATGACTTCGCCATCAAATCGTCGCACTCATTGTTCTTCAAGTCTCTCCAGTCCCGTGGATTCGATCTCGATTTCAAGCTCGCTGACGACCCGAAGATTTCGCTCCAGAGATACGGCCAGTATCTGTATGATGGCTTAATTCTGTTCTGCCCCACGATCGAACGTAAAGTTTTGTCCCTTTTTTCTCCTGGAAGCTGTAATTTTTGGAGTTTTAAAGATCTAAATTTCTGTTGCTAATTTGGATAATGGGACTCGAGGAAGTGAACTTTTTTTAAGCTTGTTTGTAAAATTTAATTGGTGACACATGAATGAAACTTGTGGTTCTTGCATATTTTCGTTAAAGCGTGTAGTTTACTGTACGACTACATTATACTTCATTTCCTAAGCAATTAACTAGGTATGGGCTTTAAATAGAATGTATTGAGGTAAAGTGTAAACTTGGAGTCGTTTTGGGTGACTTATAACACTATCTTTTGTATGTGAAAACTTATTTTTACGTGCGGTTTCATACGAGAAAATATATTTATACTCATTTAGGGGAAACCTGTACTCATTTTGCTGATATTAACGACCTTTTTACAACTATGCAGGTTTTGGAGGATCCATTGATGCAGCTGCTATTTTGGATTTTGTTGATTCTGGCCATGATTTAATAGTTGCAGCTGATAGTAATGCATCTGATTTAATCCGAGAAATTGCCAATGAATGTGGAGTAGACTTTGATGAGGTACCTGCATTAGCTATAAATGGTTTGAATTTGTTTGGCCTATAGATGATATTTCTTCTAACGAGGCTCACAGCTGTCTGTTCTGCACCTATCATCTGATGTTATGTGTGTGCTTTGATGCGTGTATTTGTATCATTGCTTCATAGGCAGTGTAACCTTACTTTCTGCTTCTCTATATCTATATGTACCCAGGATCCTGCGGCTTTGGTTGTGGATCATACTGGTTATGCAGTCGCTTCTACTGAAGGAGACCATACACTGATTGCTGCTGACGATTTCATTAAGTCTGACGTGATTCTGGGAAGCAAAAAAATTGAGGCAAGTGCCACTTTGATTGACTCATTACTTGCGTTATGCACAATAATGCTCAAGAGTTAAGCAATTAACATATGTGAGTAATAAATTGGCAGTTGATAATTGTGATTAATTGTTAGCACCAACGTCTGAGCCAATGAAGCTCTCTCTTTTTCATTCTTTCCCCCTTAGCGGGTTAATATTGGAATTTTGCAAACAGGATTTATGTGTTTTTTGTGTGGGAATTATTTTTCTGCTCGTTAGCACTAAATGAAACTGTAGATTACTGGAATATGCTCACTGTACAGTACATCCTTCTTTTCTTATCATTTTTTGGATAAACATGTAACAGGCTCCAGTTCTGTTTCGGGGGATTGGTCACTCATTGAATCCCTCCAATAGCCTGGTAAGGTGCCTTTATCTCTATTGCTATGCCGACTTTAATTGTGGAAACTGTCTATATGCTTCTATACCGAAGTTGCCTGATCTCTGGTTACTTGTTGATATATCCATTTTGTTTCTGACTTCAGGTGTTGAAAGTTCTCTCGGCATCTCCATCAGCCTATTCTGCTAATCCAAAATCTAAGTTGACAAGTCCTCCATCACTCACTGGGTCTTCTATCTCTTTAGTTTCTGTTGTCCAGGTGAGTCAATAGTTCCCCCCCCCCCCCAAACTATCCTCTCTTGTGGTTGTCATTGATCATGTTCTTCCTTGTCTATTACTGTCTGCATATGTTAAGTTTGTGTTTTGGTCGTTTATGATCTTTCTTATCTATTTGTCTTTTGTATTATACATTCCTGCAGACATAACCAAAAAATTTGAAGGAAATCATAAGATATAACCAACCTTTCCTGGTTGTTCTTTGTTGAATACTATGGCGGTTTATACTTAACAATTCATTGCTTGCTCTTGATATGTGGTTTGCAAAGGGTAAATTCTAATCATATCATTAACTGTCCTTATTCTCATTTGTCCTTTTGCAGGCAAGAAATAATGCTCGGATATTGATCTCTGGCTCATTAAGCATGTTCAGCAATCGGTATGAAAGGAGTAACTTGCTGATCATGGTCTTTTAAAGTGTAAGGTAAATTCTCATGACATAATCTCTGTTTTGCTCTTCAGATTTTTCAGATCTGGTGTGCAAAAGGCTGGGAGTCCAACAAAGTGAGTAAACAGTCTTCTCTCTTTACACATTACCACAAGTTTCTTGTTGACAATTTGCATAATACTTTTACAATCAACTTTTAGTGACGTATTTTGCAATCATGGTGAACGATTTTTTTTATTTTTTTTCCGTTGGATCAGACATGACAAGTCAGGTAATGAACAGTTTTTGACTGAACTGAGCAAATGGATTTTCCATGAAAGAGGTCATCTCAAGGTAAGGAAAAACAATCTTCCAACACTGTTTATTACGATCTATGTTAGTCTTCTTATTGTTAACTAGCATGTTTTCTGCTTCATGTATTGACATAAAGGCGGTGAATGTACAACACCACAAAGTTGGGGAAGTAGAAGAACCAGCCATTTACAGGATCAATGATGATTTGGTAATTTAATTATTACTTAAACGCTGATCTATGTAATGTTTGCTAAAGTTGGAACATTAATGTTCATTGCGGCTCACATCTCAAATCCTTTTGAAGGAATACTCTGTTGAGATTTATGAATGGTCTGGAACAAGCTGGGAACCTTATGTAGCTGATGATGTTCAAGTCCAATTTTACATGATGAGCCCCTATGTCTTGAAGACTTTATCAAATGACAGCAAGGTCCCTTCTGAAGATCTTTTTTCAGTACTGTTGTATTCTTCTGTAATGAACTCTTGAATGCAATACTCTATTATTTATTCTTTCAGGGTCGTTATTTCACATCATTTAAAGTTCCAGATGTCTACGGGGTTTTCCAATTCAAAGTTGAGTACCAAAGACTTGGATATACAAGCTTATCTCTATCAAAGCAGGTAATTGAACCCTCTGAATCTTAATTGTCAAGAACTAAATCTACATCTTCATATATGTTGACGTCTTGGATACCTAGCTATGTTATAGTTAACGGTGGATGTTTTGTTTAGTAAGGACTGGATCAGTTAAACCAGTCATATCAATAGCTGAAGAGAAATTCGTTACAAGATCAAATTGACCCTAGCCATTTGCAAGCTTTAGTTGTGAAATTACTAACGTTTATTGTCATCATTCATTAGAATCAAAATATTAGCTGTATTTGTGAAGGCTATGTTTACAGGGAGGAGCAGGTGGACCTACGTCCCTTGCATGACAATATGTTGACCGATTGATCACTATTGGAGTTCCTTCTCAAGAAATTTGAGTGCTAGGATGAGAGTTATCCATGATTTTTCTAGTATTCAATAGGATAGGTGAAAACTGAGTCTTCTGATAAATGTCTGGTTGTTGAATGTGTTGCCATGGCTACTGTTTGTAGCCATAATGTACGTTCGATATTGTTGAGATTACTGAATGAAACATGGGATTCATCTTTGAATTTTGTGGGCAGATTCCTGTCCGTCCCTTCAGACACAATGAATACGAAAGATTTATACCGGCAGCTTATCCCTATTATGGAGCAGCATTTTCAATGGTGAGTATCTCTCTCTCTCTCTCTCTCTCTCATGGAGCTTGATTTTATAGTACATTATGGGGTTGCTATTGCGGGTTGAAGTTTTGTGATTTTGACCATATCAATTGGTGATCTGTTTTCTAATGAATCTTATAGATTTTTCTCAATGGTTTTTATGTAACATATAATTTTGGATACTGTGTTACAGATGGCAGGTTTCTTCGTCTTCACTGTTGTCCATCTTTACAGCAAGCCGACGTAAACCTTTTTTCATCAAGTTATTACATCCTTATTAATGTCAAAC